ACACACACACACACACACACACACACACACACACACACACACACACGCACACTCTGCTGCTTTCGCTGAACCGTTTTGTATTCGAGTTTTGTATCGATGCAACTACGGGACACCCTGTACATATGGGTGCAACGAGTCGCGTGAGAACTGGAAGGTGCCTTTTTGGAATTTACTGCGGGCCGAGAGCGTGTCGAGGAATGAGAGCTGCGCTCGTGCTGCAAATTTCTAGGTCGCGGTGGCCACGTGCAGGCCATTTGGCTTTATCGATGTAAACAAGGGAAATACACCGGGGAAATTTGCATACGTTCGTATACACCGTTTCGATAATAGACCGACCGTTTCACGAATTTTCTTGCTGTTTCATGACGAGTGTATTAATAAACCCCGGCTTGATAAAGTATTTTACATTCGTCATTGTAATCTGTTTTCGAAAGAGAGAGGAATACGCGGCACGTTAGCTGCATAATTTTTCAGCAAATTGAAAGATACTCCGCGACCACTCTTGATCGTTCAATTATTTCTCTCGACGAGACGTCAATTTGATGGAGGAGGATTGATTCGACACTTTATCTACCGCTCACGATGGAAATTGTCGCTAAATATCGACCGACTATCGGACAGAATATGTGCCTATTTATCAAGCTACTAAGCACAATATAATTACTTGTAAACTAATATTCCTATGACACTTTGAATAATAGTAACACCGTAATAATACTCTTCACGAAATGAATTTCTTCTCTACTCTGCCTTTGGAAAGTTTTGCTTTTCCCATTGGTCACGATTCTTATGCTTCTTTATGCCTGATAACCGTCAACACAAAGAAAGTTAATATGTTTCCTCAGGCGGTGGATAAAGCGTGAACAAAAACTCGTGAAAAAAAATCTTATCGTACGAATTTTCCTCGATCGTTGCTCGAGAACGTACGAGTTCGTTCAGAGCAGTGGCGGATTAATTTACTTACGCCAGAATGCTGGACATGTGAAAGATCTCGGCGTTCAGGTACGCCAGGTAAGCCATGACGAATATGAAGATGGGCTCGATCACGCGAACCTGATGGGTGAACCTCGTAACGAAACCAGTGGCGAAGCCCCATATCACACCGATTATCGTGCCGCCGATCGCCACCACGAAGAACGAAGCCAATCCAGACAGTATGTCCGTGTAAAGTATTTCCGTCGGTCCTATCTTGTTGTACGTCTCGAACATATGGTACAGCACCTGCGTGTCATTAAATGACCACAACTTATTCAACTGTTCACCCTGAACTGATTAAGAGATCCCGCGAGATGCCACCGGATAGATTAGAATTCCTCGAGCGTACCTCGAGCGAAATGCACCTTGTGCAATGGGGTACTTGCAGAGTGACGTGCAACTCTAGAATGGCGGAATGGCTCGAGATCGGGTAGAAGCTTTAATCGTGTAACCGCTGTTTCGAGATAAGACTCGCTGTTCCCGAGTTTCACGGACTTCCCGATCTAGGCTGAGATTACATTCGAACTCTTATTTCAGCGAGCGATCACTTCAGTCTCGTAATTATTTCGCTAGCGTACGGCAATTTATTTATTTTCGATATATACAGTAAGCTGTTTAGTCGATCGATTCACGTGAGGCTACTAGTAGTACGTTTACAGCATACATTATGACTATAGAAATGGAACTCGAATGAAAATTTGTCTCGTCTGTTGTCTCACGCTCGCGGTGAGAAAGACAGCGCACGTGCGCGTGTTGCATTTATTCATCATAAATGCACGTACACGTGCACGAGCTAATTATAATAAAAGAGGCAGTGGAGCAATCTCCCTGGCAGCGACGTATCAACGCTGTAGTTCTAAGTTCTCCGCAAGCATACTACTTACAACGGTGACAGCGTCGTTCAGTAAACTCTCGCCGAACACGACGATGTACAGGATCTCGTTCACGTGGATTTCCTCGAAGACGGCCAGCACGGCGACAGGATCGACGGCGCTGATCAACGCGGAGAACAGCAACATTTGCAGCATCGGTGTTTCGAAACCGAAAAGCCCGCTCTTACCCAGCACCCACAGCGACGCCCCTACGAATAGTCCGCGTAGGGAAAAGGAAATGTTAGAAAATTGCATAAAAACTGCAATTCAGCATGCAGCTGTTATGTTAATCCGACTTCTCGTTCGATCGAAATGAAGAATTTAAATGTCACTGAAATCCCGTCGATAGTTTATTAAAATGTCGATATTATACTGGATATTCAATAATTGGCAAAACACTCGAGAATAGCTCGTTCGCGAACGAGCTTCGAGTCGCGAATTCTAAGTGTCCTATAGGTTTAATTAATTTCGAATGAAATTCAGCTCGAACTTTATCCCTTCGTATTTTAAGTGTGTGTGTATGTGTGTGTGTGTGTGTGTGTGTGTAGAATGGGAATACGTTTTATCCTCTTTCTAAAGTAAATTTAATTTAAAATGAAAATGTCGTAATTATTAATTGTTAATTTATTTTTCTTCCCTTTGTCATTTCAATCGATCGTCAATCGCTCAAAGGTTAAGCTTCAAATATATACAGAATCCAATTCCGTCGTATCGAAATATATGGCACGTACATATATCAATATATATGCGCTATGTACCTTCCCATGCACATCTGTTAAAATGTAGAAATTTAATATTGAAACTATATGACC